AAATGTGATCGAGAACCAGAAAACTAGTCAAAATATATCAATAATTTCTTTCAATGATCTTCTTTTGATTGTCTTTTAATGATTTACATTTGATAGACTTGAAAGTATCCACCACTTTAAAATCAAACAGGTAGACAATAAATAATTACTGATCAAATGGCTTGTGGTATGTTTATAAATCACAACAAAGGTGACTCAAGATGACATAGTAACTGATGGAAATAATGACACTTGAATGATCTGCCATTTAGTTTCCTTACAATTTTGCAAAATAAAATAATACAATAATAAAGTCAATTATGAAACTTCTAAAATGTCGAATAAGTTTGTAAATACACTAAATATGTTTCTTTTACCAAAATGTCTATTGATTCAACTCTCCAGAGACACAAAAATCTGACATTCATTTCTATAATTATGATGCACATGGTCACACTCTATTCCCCTGCCCCAACATGGAACCTCACATTCCTGGAAAACTAGGTCATTAGATCTGTAGGCCTAAGCTGATCAGCTGGTATTGTTTTTCAAACAATGCTCAATTGAATAACAATAACAGAGCGAGATATGCTGCAAGTTGTGGGGTGTTTGTAGAAGGCTATGTTAGGCTATGATTACACATAGCCATTTAGAAAGTGATCAAATGTAACACGTTATATTTGGGATTACACTTTCTTACTAAAGTACAGAGTCTAGTACTTTTGTTGGGTTGAGTCCCATGCGGGATTCGAACCCACACCCTCAGGGTCAGGCACCTAATCACCAGCACACAAAGTCAGCCTCCTAACCCGCTCAGCCACAGATTCTAATTAGAGTTGGAGTCAATTATTTAAAGATTGTCTTGCTGTAATTACATGAGTAATATAGTGCCATACATTACCCGAAACGAAATGAACGACCCCGTCTGTGGCGGAGAGGCACGCCCACCACATCGTGTGTCCATTATTTTTGTTACTGTCCGTGTTGGGATATATAATCAGGTGTATCTCGACATTTACAAGTTCATGGTCTATTGGCGGTGAGCTATGTGCATTGCCATTGTAACCTTTAGATTCACTTCGGTACACATTGATAGGAGGATTGAGGCACATTCCTGAGAGCTCTGATAACGGTTAATGACATTGCCAGTGTGATTGTTCAGCGACCATTCAAGCCCTTGATAGTCATCCGTATTCGTTATGCGTTTCTCATGATCAGACAGTCAGACACAGTTTATTTAAGTCTCACCAAGGGTACACAATATATACATATGACCAGTTTATGAATGAATATTGAAAAGTCACTTGCCAGGAGTGCTAGTCAAGTACAAATGTTGCTAGCCCACATCATACTTCACCCGCCCAGCAAAATATCAATATCAAAATGAACATTGGTCAGAATTGGTGTAATGTTTGGTAACTGAAGGTGTTAAACGTTACATTTGTATTGTAATGGTTCCTAACCTCTTCTGCGCAACGCTATTAACAGTTTTATATAGCGATCTTTGTGTGACAAAAGACAATAAATATCACGAAACTTTTGTGGACCGAATTTTAACACCTTCATAATTGACTTCATCATATTCATGTGCATTAAATAAGGAACAAATTATCTGAGATTTGCAGCTAGCCAGCCGGGATAGCTTTAACAACATTTTACTGGCCCGTGCTTGTCGTAAGAGGCGACTAACGGGATCGGGTGGTCAGACTCGCTGACTTGGTTGAAACATAACATCGGTTCCCAATTGCGCAGATCGATACTCATGCTGTTGATCACTGGATTGTCTGGTCCAGACTCGATTATTTACAGACCGCCTCCATATAGCTGGAATATTGCTGAGTGCGGCGTAAAACTAAATTCACTCACTCACTCACCGATTCACAATCAAGTAGCATTTTCGAACGCTGCATACGATGTGAGTTTAACAAGAGAAAGGCTAAGGTACCCAAGCCTACTCGTGTCCAACATGAGAACATGAGAAAATTAAAGAAATAAAACAAAAAATAACTTTCATTAATTGTGTAACCTATTTTATTAATTTTTAAATTTTAGATCTCTTGGTGCATGATAGGTAAACAAATGTTGTACCACGCCTGAGTGTCGGTTCCTTTGATCTTATCCGTGGTGTATGTGCTGGAAGACAACAGTTTTGTCTTGAAGGCAGATTTCGTCTAAAAGCCACGCCCCACGGCAAGAGGACTGAACTCAACATTGTTCAACATTGTACACAATTTTATGCCAGTCAAGGTTTGCAACAAGGAAATCTAACTTCTACAGTTTTAATGGTTTCAAATGAATTTGGCGGGAAATGAACACATATCATCAAATATATCCGATTTCACCTGAAAGTCCCCACCATTAGAGTGTCTACATCGTACTCATTCACTGTTTGTGAAAGAGTGAGCTGGGAAAGTCCCTCAAATGCATGAAATTCATTTTCCATGACTGATGCGATCTGTGGCAGTGTGAAGTCGTCTTTGTCCTCGTCACACTACATGTGCACTCATTTTGGCAACTAGACTGAGAATGAAACGGTCGTTAAAACTTGAAGATTTTCCCGCTTCCCATACATAATAGGCGTGGTACAAGTCAGTTAGCTCATCAATCCTCGATCTGTGCTCATTATACACCACAGTTTGCCGGAGTTGATTGACAAGAAGTGTTGAGGAAGCTCGAGCAAAGCTCTCGCGTCTCCCACCCGTCAATCAACTCTGGCAAAACTTGTGGTGGCTACGAGCTTTACAGATCAGTTTGAAATGATCTAACTTAAATACATATGATATGGACCAAAGTCTCCTTTCTTCGGGGTCAAGTTATTGAATGAAGATAGATACAGATGTATCAGGCAGACCTGTGTTTATGAGTATGCGGGGTTAGAGAGTTGCATCCTCGCACTAGTGTTTACTTTTGACAGCGACGGGGAAGACAGAGAGGCGGTAAAAAGACCAGGGTTCGATTCACCACATGGGTATAATGTGTGAAGCCTGATATTCTGGTGTCTCCCGTCATTGATATTGCTGGAATATTGCTAAAAGCGGGTAAAAACCCAACTCACTCTCACTCACTTATCAATACTTTATATGTGTATCATCCCCTTAGAGTATGTTAACCGGTTAACCGGTTGCTGACAACATGATCACCGATGTTTGTAATTGCATTTACATTGTATCTACCGAGGTTGAGAGGAGGATACACTGGCGTGCGAGCTGCTTTACGGTCAAGAGTAATTTAAGAAGTCTCCGCCGTGGTTTTCCTGGAAACAGTGCTAACGGCGCTACACAATACTCAGCTTGGAGCAGCAATCCCGCTTCTTAAAACGGGTTAGCGATGGAGTAAATATTCAAACCTCCTCGTGAATACTTATCATCGATTGTACTTTTAAAACAAACATATTTTTGTTTTAAACAAATTAGAATACAAATTGTTTTCATATCACCCAGAGCCAGTCAACTCACACAAAGCAAGCACATTGCCGGTGGTGGATGAGCTGGGTCAATTTTGCACGTTCGCTTGGTGATAGCTACTAAGGGAGACAACTTCGCATGCCCAATTTCAAAGTAAGCTAGACGCCTCGCGCACAATATCTGTTAAATTAAAGTTACTCCCGTTCTATCTGCGTAAATACGCCCTATGTCAAGGGTCACTGTGTTGATAGCATAATATAGCGCAATGTACCGCTTGGTATAATTACAGTAGATGGCGGTACAATAAAGCATGAAAATATTACGGAAGGAATACAGCGGTACATGAAGACGAACACTTAGGAACCGTTCATAATTTATGGCTGGGGGTGGGGTGGGGGTGATGATTTTATGGAGAAGCATGTACATTTGTGAATCCCAAAAAAAAAAGAAAGAAAAAAGAAAAAGAAATCATCATAATCACCCCTCAACTCCTATGAACAGTCCAGTAAATTAGACTGAAAATATGTAATTTTGATTGAACCAAGATTAACTCCATTTAAACTGAAAAGATACCCAGTGAGCTCGGAAACTCAGGGGCAGAATCTGAGGAAAAGAGTAGAAATCTATACTGCATTTAGAGCTTTTGAATTACAGAAAGGGTACAAAACAGAACAAAATGGTTGAACCCCACTTAAAATCATCACCACCACCCCAGCCACAAATTATGAACTCTCTCTCACAATAAATATGACATAAGTTACGTTTGACCACTTTCTAAAAGGGATTTCTATAGTTTGTGGTAATGGCAATATATAGTGCATTTTGTGATATACTTTTATCGTGTGCTTGTTTAACTGAATATTTGATACGTTGTTCACAAAGCCTCGGTGGTGTATAAATGTCTTATCACCCAGATGTCTGCCGACATTACAATCTATTCTACAATGTGTTGTGAACTATGGCAATCTCGTTCAAGCGGTGCGATATGAGAAAATGGCCGTAGGTCATTACTCTATTTGATACACAAGAGAACTGATAGGAGTTGTACAGTTAACGTGTTTTCGGTTTGCATTGTTTCCAACACACGGATTTGCCTACTCAGTGACCTGTGTTTATAGATGGCGCTGGCGAGCAATGTCAATCTCGCTGACGTCACACCCAAAACACTGCACAGCGAGGACGAGGGAGGAGTCACATCTCTGTATTACGTATGTTTTGACAAATTCCTCGCAGTTGGAACACTTTTGCAGCTGGTGGTTCAGAAAGTAGCTTCGTCATTCAATGTTTTTTAAACAACAACCACTTCTCATCACAATGTGTGATTGCAGAAGGAAAGGAACTGCTTTTGAATATATTCCTGGAACGACCGTCTGCCATCAAATATGAAATACCAAAGACACATCTCATCTTCAAGATGATCATAATGGTACTCTTACTATCACCAGAAACTTGCTTTGTCGGAAGATTACGGAACGACGACGACCGATACATACTACGAAGCATATTTAAATGTACCTACAAACAGAAGGCAACGAACAGAGACGGGTCGTTTACGAGCGACAAGTGGGAGATTCGGAGTCCCAGTAATTCTGAAAGGTTGAAGGTGGAGCCACTGAGAGTGGTATGTCGTCGTTAGCGTTAAAACAGTTAAAGACAAAAATCATGGCTGTGATGATTACTCCAATGTGACCATTCCTCAGGTGAAATGGATCGCACTGATTGCTCAGCGGGGAGAGTGTTCGTTTACACAGAAGATCACCAATGCCATGAAATATAACGCTTCCGCTGTGGTTGTCTACAACAATAAGGACGACGATAAGACTTTGCATGTCATGGAACATAAGGGTGGGTACTTTTTTCACTCCATGAATTTATAGGAAAAGAATACATTTGGTAGAACGAGGTATGAGTCGTTGAAATGTGTCAAGTGCAAATATGACTGTCACGTCTCTAACCGAATATTTGTTCTTGTTCAAGTATGACTGTCACGTTCAGCAATGTGAAAATATCTCACACATTGTCACACGTAGATAGCCAGTGACAGTTGTTATATATCAGCATTGTCATTTGTTTTATTTTGAAAATTCCACAATGTTTGCATCATTATGGTAATGATGCTACAGCCATATGAGAATAATGTCACCGTCAAGTACTGTCATATGAACACACATCCTAGAACACCACAAGCTAAACACAGCAACACATTTTTACTCAAAAGAACATTAAGAAATTGATACAAAGCCTCAAACGTTAATGCCAAATTATATTTATAAATTAGGTCTTTTTTTTCATGCAATTAAATATATATTATGATGCATTTTTTGTCGCATTGCCTGTATTTGTATTTTTTAACTTACAAACACCTGCATCTTTCATTATGATTCATTTGATTCAAAAGTACACTCTATTATTTGTCTGCCCATTTTAGATGACAATGATTTGAATAAATGTTAGTCAGTTTTGCCGTGAATGTGCCTGAAATATTTGCTGGCTATATGTGTTGGGTTTTATTAATTTTAACATGCATTTCCTGGAGTGAGTGAGTTCTGTAGCATGCCGCTTTTAGCAATATTCCAGCAATATCATGGCAGGGAACACGAGAATGACCTTCACACATCTGGATTCCCATGTGTAGTGAATTAACCACTTAGGCTACCCTAGAACTCGCATTTTGTAAAAAGTTGATGGATGAAAGTAGACAGCACCATATAGATCATAGCCCCTATACATGTAGTGTTATAGCAATGTGTTGGTATAATCCTCAAACCCGTTGTCTTGCTTAACAATGGTACATGAATCCATATTAACATATCCCTAAACATTAAAAGAGGTCGCTAACAACAAATTTGATAGTATACTTTGTTCTGTAGTACTACAGATATCTGACACACCAGAGTGCTTCTCAGATTCGAATTGAGTGAATGAGTAAGTTTTACGCCGCGCACTCAGCAATATTCCAGCTATATGGCAGCGGTCTGTAAATATCGAGTCTGGACCAGACAATCCAGTGATCGTAACAGCGGCTGGCATGGTTCTGGCGCAATTGGGCAATCGGCGAGCATGCTTATCAACTAAGCCAGCGAAGTCTGATACACCATCCCGCGGTCACTTCTCTTACAACAAGCAAGGGTTACTGAAGGTTCATTCCTAACCCGGATCTTCACGGGTTACCAGATTCCCAGATGTCAAGATCATTGTCATTAAAGTATGTTCTATATTCAAATATGTCTGGGGGGTTACACCGCATATTGTGTCTACTACAAGGATTTAGTGCTCCTGCGGAGGTGTGGATTTACAGGACACGAATTCCTGCATTCTTTTACATAATGTTGACAATGGGACGCAACAAAATTTTCTAGGGAGTCCGCGAAGGGGACATGAGAAAAGTCCAAATACTTTTGTAAAAATTGAATCACATGTTTATGAATCACTGCTCTAATAATGATGATATCACGTGTTAGTGACTAAGAGTAAAGAGAGCATACTGCCTTATCTACACCACCTACCAAGAAAGTATGTTATCCTAAATATATTACATCGAAAGTAGTAGCTAAATAGTTTCCAAAGTTTGCTAGCCAGTTGGGCTAGCTTATGTCTGCCCAAAGTTTCTAGTCCACAAAATAATTTTAATTAGGCAGAAATTTGAATGGAGAAACTAAAGCAAAGATTACTTACAAAATAGATAGAGATATTGTCGGCATTTGACACAGGTTTCATCATTAAGCTGCTAATGTGATGAACATTTTTATCAGGCCATAATTATTGTGCATGATTAAAAGGCGGCGGTGTATTATAACTTAACAAGTCAGAGAGAGTGATATATTTACAAAATGACCCCTTGAAATTTCCATCGGACAGTCGGGCCAGTGACTGTGGAGATTTACTGGCCTGACTGGATATTTACTAGCCACGCCAGTGGGCCAGTGCGTCAATATTTCACTTACGGGTTTATATCTGACAACTTTTAAAATGGTATCGTGTAGTCATAAAATAGCTCAGTTGAAAATAACCACTACAAAAAATCTCTTTCTGCCTCCAGAACTATAAATCATATGAAAATTTAGTCGGCTATTTGAGTTAGCAATGCCTTTTTTGTTTCTTTTGCATCAGGACCCGTGTGAAGATCCGAGGTAGAATAGGTCTTTCAGCCAACCCATGTGCTTGCCATGCTTAAGCTTACTATCTAGTAAAGTAGAGTGACTAATTAACGATCGGTGGTCAGTTTCGGCTGACTTGGCTGACACATGTCATCGGTTCCCAATTGGCGCAGGATCGATGCTCATGCTGTTCATCTGCACGGATTGTCTGAACTCCAGGACTCGATTACCCTACAGACCGCCATATAGCTGGAATATTAACTGGAGTGCGCGCAAAACCAAACCTTCACCACTCACTCACTCTTTGCATCAGCTGCTGCTGATTTGGTAAATAACATTTGGCCTTTTATACTGAGTTATGGTTTTCAACTATTATTTGCCCTTTCCTAATAATGCCGGAGGAATATTATCGGCGCATCGGTAGGTGAATCATGGTATACCTAAAGTTTAGTATGCTTGTAATAAGAATTCAGGTGGAATGTGCGTTGGTAATTCATGACCCAAGGTGTAAACTATCTATAACATGGTATTAATATTGCTTTATAAGTAACAGAACAATATGCTGTAAATGTGAAGGTATTGGTATTCTCAATGCCAAAGAGGCGATTGGGGTAGCATGATGGTTAAAGTGTCCACTCAAGTCCACATTCGAAGACCTGGTTCGAATCTGCACATGGTGTCCCTCGTATGACGCAAATCCAGGAATTTTTGAAAGGGGATTCAGGGGGTTTGAACTCCCCATTGGCTCATAGCGCTAAAAACAAATCTTTAATGTGGTCTTAAGTCATTTTTACAAAGTTCGAGTTGACCCCAGACCCCCCCTCTGCATCCGCCATTGTCCCTCTACTCTGATTTTTGCAGGAGTTTTGTTAAAGCATCATAAAACCATACTCTACCATGCACCCTCACTCACCTCTTACAATTCTAATGCTGGGGTTAGACAATGAAAACAATGTAATACACTGCATCACTGTTGCATAAAGTATAACACTATTACATTTGAATCAATTGCTGTAATACAAAGCATAACACTATTACATAATTCTATATACCATTCGTTGTAATCAGCATTTCATCTTGAAAGATAATATTTCATTTTAGTTTACTGATCTCAGAATCCACAGACAAGTTAACCGTCTCCTTTGCTGAATGGCATTGTGTATTCATACTTGGCTGTTGTAATTACTTATTTTTTCCTAGATTTTCTCAAGCTCTTTAGCTTAAGATAGTCAAAAGTGCCATATATTTACATCAATCCTTGCCACAAATCTTTAGCTCTAAGAGAGCTTCAAAATCTAGGCCCAGGTCTTGGGTGTCCATTCCCATAAAACCTTCACCAGTTTTACCTTTGTGCCAGATGGAATCGTTTTGGCACATCAAGAGTTATTATTTCGTAGTTGACAGATTATGTTTGATTAGGGTGCCTTGTCTGCCTGTTGTAGCTTTGTGAGTGAGTGGGGAGTTTAGCTTTACACCCACTATTAGCAATATTCCAGCAATATCGAAGGGGACACCCAAGCAAATGGTCTTCACTCTCTGTCTCTTTGTAATCTTGTGTATCATAAGCATTAGAATGTTTTAGTCACACATTAAGCTGAAATACTGCCAATGCAACAAATCTTAATCCCTCTCAATTTGTAATTCGTCCTGTGAGCCGTCATCCCTGTCCATGATATCATTGTGATGCTGTCAACAGATGGCATAACACCAAACCCAATTCCATGTAATATCCGGGGTAGAATAGGTCTTCAGCAACCCATGCTTGCCACAAAAGTGCTTACTATGCTTGTCGTGAAGAGGCCACTTCAACGGGGATCGGTGGTCAGGCTTCGGCTGATTGGTTCCCAGTGCTACAGATCGAGTGCTCATGCTGTTGATCACTGGTTTGTCTGGTCCAGACTCCTCGACATTTACAGACGCGCCATATGGCTGAATATTATTGTTGAGGCAAGAAAACTCAACTGACTCATTCACTCATAACACCAAACCATACTAATTGAATCCTATGCATGTTTCTGTTTGTCTGTTAGTTTATTGTGTAATCCTTCACTCAGCAATATTCCCAGCTATATGGCAGTGGTCTGTAAACAATCAAGCCTTTAGACCAGACAGTCCAGTGTTCAAAAATCATGAGCAATGATCTATGCATCACTGAGGATAATGGCGACATGTGTCAACCAAGTCAGTGTGCCTGACCACTACCTGGTCCCTAATTAGTCGCTCTCTTACGACAATCATTGCTATACAAAGACCAAAAATTCTAACCCAGATCTTCTTCAGAAGAGTAAGTTATGCATGTAAACACACACTTACATTTAGTTGTCGCTGCTGGTTCAGAATTCATCTACAATGGCTGAGTGGGTTAGACGGCTTGACTCTGTTTGCTGGTGATTAGGTGCCTGACTTGAGGGTGTGGGTTCCACAAAACTGGTAGTCTAGACTATGCGGACTTCTAGTACCACTCTGATACATGTGAATTGGCACAACTCCCACGTAAAGCTGTGATTACACATAGCCATTTAGAAAGCAAATGTAACCGGGCAAGTTATATTTGGGATTACACGCTCTAGTAAAAGTGCAGATTAGATGGTCAGGAAGTTGCTGTGGCTGAGCCGGGTTAGGAGGCTGATTTTTGTGTGCTGGCGATTAGGTTCTCGACCCTCTGAGGGTGTGGGTTCGAATCCTGCATGGGACTCAACCCAACAAAAGTACTAGACACTGTACTTTACTAAGAAAGTGTAATCCCAA